AAGGAAGACAAAAAAAAAAAAGGAAAAAATGGAAAAATGGAAAATAAAATTAAACAACTCTACTTCATTGGTTTCCCCACCCCCTCACTCCCTCCAAATCACCATCCCTTCCTCTACTTATTCTTTTTATTTATTTTATTATTATTATTATTATTATTTCCCCCTCTTCTTTCCTTTTCTTTCTTTTTTTTTTTTTCTTTTACTTTTCTTTATTTCTCTCGTCCAATAATGGCGGTGTGGTGGGGCTTTGCCGCGGTGTACATCGCCCCCCAAGTAAATCTGCCGATCGAAGCGAAATCGCACTCATGGACCCCAACTGTGAATTCACACGAGTGAAGTGTAAACCCCCACCACTTCCCACTATTCCTCCACTTCCATTTCCATTTCCTCCAATCACAACAGTGCCGTCGCTTCCGGTTTGTCCGGCGATGAGAACAGGACTTCCCCCCACCACCACCGTTCGTTGTTGTAATTGCTGTTGATGTTGTAATCGACGTCGTTCACTGCAGGCGGATATCCAACGCTGCACGGAGAGATCCTCTTCCTCATCCTCTTCACTTAACATGGGATGTTCGAGTAATTGCTCCACCGCACATCGTCGTCGTGGATCTCGCCGTAAACACAGTCGTAAGAAATCACACACCGTTGGTTCATCACATTCAAACTCCAGCGTTGCATCTAAAGACATTCGACGATACATTTCACACAACTCTGGTAATCCTAATGAACGATGTGGAAGTGGCACTGAAAGTGCCTCGGCGGCAATACAACCAATAGACCAAACATCACAGGCTTTTCCATACGTTTCGCCTAATAAAACCTCTGGGGCCATATATGCAAATGTCCCTTCCACATGTCGAATCCCTCCACATTTAAAGACAGCAGTACCAAAGTCACTTACTTTAGCTCGACCATCACGAAAGAGAACATTCTCTGGTTTTAAATCCCGATGAACAATGTGTTTACCATGTAAATAGGCAACAGCTCCAATGACATCACGTAAAATATGTTTAATTTGATCTGCCCCACGTAATCCACCTCCTTCACGTGCGATGCGTGTACGTAAAGAACCACCAGAGCAAAGTTCCATAAAGATAGAAACACAATTTCCATCCCGTTCACAGAAGAGATACTGTACAATATTTGGATGACTTAAGGAACTCATAATATCTACTTCTCGGGCAATTGCCTTTAATTGACTATCAGATCCTCGCAACACATCACCATCATCACGATCACCACGTAAATACATACGTTTTACCGCACATCGTGCTCCTGTTAATTCCATTTCAGCTTCAAATACATTTCCATAAGCACCACCACCAAGACGTCTACCAAGTGTATACGGTGGAACCTTAAACTGCTTGCTTGGGCGAAAGATACTCACACTGTTCATCTCCTCATCTACACCAATACCAGAGAGTAGTAACAACTCCACATCACGTGGGGTGAGAGGAATCTCCAATCGAGCTCCATACGGTACTTGAGAAGGCATAGTTCCAAGTGCTGCTGTGAAAAAGAATACCGGACGACGGTGTTGTTGTAGCCAACTAAGTGCCATTTGTAATTGCATCTCATCAAGATCAGGGGCGTGTAGGAGAAATACTTTAAAACGCTCAGAACCACGATGAAAAGCGGCATCCAGAGCTCCTAATGTACTTCGTTGTAATACAAGGAAATTACGATTCCATAATTCATTGTATACATCCTCACGTAAATCTTGACTGCGGCAGTAAACTAATGCCGTAATAGAAAGTCCATCCAAACCACTACCCATTAGACTACCACGAGTTGCATGTAAATGAAAATGTGCTAGTGAACCAGAATCTGGAGTAATTTTCTTCAATTCACTCGCATTATCATCGCCTTCTATAAAACCCTCATGTTCATCATCATCATCATCATTATCATCGTGATCATCGTGATCCTGATTCGAAGCGATAGCGTGAAGATTACTACGAATACCAGGAAGAAAAGAGAGTTCCTCTAAATTCTCTTCTCCTCTTGTATTATTTGGAATAGTATTAGGATCTACTATCATATCATTCCCCTGAAGTTGTTGTTGTTCTTGTGGTGATCCTTGATGACTATGATTATGATGATGATGATTGGGATTTGCACCTCCAAAGCCTATATGACTACGCACCATCATATCTTTCATACGTTCTTCTGCCATTTGTTGTTGTTCAAAACTAACAAAACTCATAAGAAGTGCATTATAACGATCACTTTTAAGTAAAGCCTCGTCTGTTTGATGTGAGGCACATGATAAAGCATCATCTCCATTTTGACCATCTCTTCTAGTTCTATTCCATTCATGCCATTGTTGTCTAACATGTGTATTGGAAAGTCTTTCATTGGCATCATAACCATCATCATTGTCATTATCCAAACCTGTTGAGTTAGCATAAGGACTAGCAACAGCACTACTAGCAGCACTAGTATTAGTATTAATATTACCCTTACCAACACCACTAGTCATTATTTTATGGTTTCGGTGTGTTGTACCTTCTTGTGTACTCATCAGACTGTTCGGTATTCTTGGACCCCATGATTCCCCATTATTAAGAGTATGGTTTGGTATAAATCCATTTCTGCTCCTTCTAGGCAATCCTGATAGACCCGCTGATTCATCTACTTCGTATTCTGGGTTTTGAATGATATTGCCTGCATATATATTATGTGTACGGTGTTGTTGGTAGTGGTTGTGGTGGTTGTTAAAATCATTTCCATAGCCATCATATTTGTTAATATTACATTGATTATAACCATCATTAGGATTACTACCACCACTACTAGTAAGACCACCACCAAAACCAATAGCAATACTACTATTATTATTGTTATTATTAATATTATTGTTATTATTATCTTTAGCAGTAGTATCATTGTTAAAATCACTGATGGCAGTCTCTACAGAATTCATAAGTTCTAAACGAGCAAAGTCTCGTACTTCCCCTGATACAGCATTGTGATCTAGTAGTAACATCCCACCAAACCCCAATAGTATTAACACTAAACCAGTCACTACCGTAAAAACCACACGAAGTGCTATATGCATATCTCCCAAACATGCAAGTAATACAAGAGATATCAATCCCAAACACACAGATCCAACAGTACACCCCATTAACATATGTGCACGTTTACTGGAACCGATACAATCCCATAATGAAAATAATGTTGTATGTTCCACACGACCTCCACGATCTGCAGAAACAATACTCAACAATTGAAATGAGGCATCCTCAAATTCTGCACTATTAGGTTCACCTTTTTGCCAAGTTCCTACTACACGAGCCACCGCATCCCGTAATGATTTATCAGACCAACTAGTGAGATGTCGTTTTAATAATACCCCATTTACCTCCAACACGGCATGAGAAAGTTGAATATACAATTGTGTAAAGGCATGAGCGGGAATAGGATCTTCACATGGTTGTAAAACCATAGAACCAGAAGGTTCTTCCATTTCCAAGGAAAATTGACGTTCTTGCATTTGTTGTTGATACCATTGATGTCGTTTTTGTTGAACCTCTTGAAGTCTAATTAGGTTAAAAACGAGAAAAAATAAGGTTGGTATCTGCAGCCATTGAGGTTCAGTTGATCCACCAAAAGGACTTCCTGTATCTGGAGTGATATTCACTACCTCCGTTGTATTATCATCATGATTTTCAGTATACTCAACAGGATAAAGTTCTCCATTATGTAATTGAAGTTCATCATTATCCATCTGGTTACTCTGGTTACTACTTTCACTCTTTAATGAGAATTCATGGCCACCTGAAGATATCTGATCATCTTCCCTTGAGCTTGCAATTGAATATCGTTTTTCTTCTTCTACTACTTCTCCTTCTCCTTTTTCTTGACGTTGCTCATTATCTTGATCCTTTTGATGTTGCTCCTGCTTCTGCTCCTCTTTATGTATTTGTGCATGTTTTTCTTTTTCTTCTTCCTCTTCTTCTTCTTTTTCTGACTTTACTTTTTCTCTTTCTTCTACTTTATTTTCTTCTCCTTTTTCTTTTTCTTTTTCTTTTTCTACTACTATTATCTCATTTTCCTGTGAAGATTTCTGATTCTCTGCCTTTTCATACTCCTGTTTCAGGTCTAATTCATTCTGAGTAGAGTTTTGAGTTTTATTATTATCTTCACTTAAAGGTATCTCATCAGAAAAAGTATTATTTGAAGACCCAGTTTCTTGCTCTTTCTTCTGATGTTCAGTTTCTACATTCCCAGAGGCACGTCCTAATGGCATTGTGGTGGAAAGTGAAGGAAGCTTCACACAGCTCTCTACATCTGTGGTATCGGTACTTATATAACTCACAGAAGCCACTGGGAGTTTCTCCAGTTGTATTTGAGTGTTACTGTTAATCGTTAGGGACGACTCTTTATTACCTTTATGTTGTAATTTCGGCTGTGTTTGTACACTCTTTTCATCATCCTGGAGAAAAACAGGAGCAGGAATAAATGCGATAGTATCATTGGATTGTCGTTGATTGATCCCAAGTTCTTTAAGAGGTACAGGTGCCTTTATACTTTCCTTCTCCTTCTCTTCTTGTAATGGCCGTTCTTCTTCTTTATTATTAATATTATTATTTTCTTCCTTTTTCTCTGATGGATTCAAAGTGATTTTTTTAGTAATCTTTGCATATTGTCGTTCTTCTTCCGTTGCCCAAGTGGGTGTCTTTATACCCAAATGTCCCTCATTCCTTTGATAGGATGATGATGATGATGATGATATGTTAATAGTATTAATAGTATTAATACTGTTAATAGTGTTTGGAGTCAAAACATTTGAAGATGCTGGGCGTTTTGCTCCCATCACATCTTTTTCTTCTCCTTTTTTTTCTCCGCCTCCTCCTGTTAGTGGATATCCATTAGATCTGTAGGAAGCTAACACATTCTTTGTTCGTGCGGCCACACCAGAGGAGTGTCTTCTTCTTTCTCCCAATATCATTTCACGAGCCACAGGTGTAGGCCCGAAGGTTTGATGGCGTGGAAATTGACCAGCAAGAACAGCACTAACAGAGTTTGTGCCGATTCTATTTGTTTTTTCCATACTCATAATATCACTAGAGGGATTCGAAGTGTAATGCACATGACTATTATTATTATTATTATTATTATTATTATTATTATTATTATTATTATTATTCTGGGAATTGCGGCTGTTATTGCTGGTATGATTACTACTACTACTACTACTAGGTGGTACGGTTCTTGTGGAAGTGGTAGTGGCACTGCTGTTAAGATTAGAATTATTATTATTATTATTATTATTATTATTATTATTAATATTATTATTATTATTATTATTATTATTATTATTACTATTAACTGCAGTTTGTGCTGGATGTTGTAATCGTGATTCCATCAATTGGGTTACACCTCGTTGACGGCCCACTCCAAGCATAAATGCATTTCTGGCGACACTATCACCATATCCATTGCTAGAACCGCTAGAACTACTAATTCTATTAGAGTTGTAGATTTTTCTCTCATCATCTCTACTATGACTGTTGTTCGTGCTTGTATTTACCACCTCTGAGTTGCCTAATGTTTGTTCTTCATGTAATATTGAAATTGGGATCATTCCCATTCCGGTTTCTCCTCCTCTTCCTCCTCCTCTTAAAGAGAAGTGTGTGTTATCGCCTCGCATGTTGTTTGGCATTTCTTTTGCTGAGAGAACATTCACTCCTCGTGCTCGTAATGAATGTACACCTCGTTCTTGTTGTGGAGATACGGAAATTAAATCAGCATGACTATCAACTGGCATACGTGAGAATGTACGTAAGTAGTATCTAGTATGAATATATATATA